ATGCAGTGCAGATTCACGAGGGGATTGAATTCATTCATTTAACGTGGCATTTGGGCAACAGTAAAATGTTGTCCATAATTTAGCCATAAAAACAGTGTATAACGCACCTCATCACCCTAATCGCTTTCCTTTTCAAGCACATTCTATTCACCAACAGCAACTTTAAATGTGGTAATTTTATTTTCATTTTGCCACAGACGTTCCCTAAAATGTTTTTTTCCACTTGTGCCTGATTCAAGTCCACCGAGTTTTGTGGAACCTGTCCGTATGAGAGAGGAAACATCGTTCCACTAAATACATTCATTACAGTAGAAATGCGCAATGGACGTGTTGTTTGCGTGTGTCTGTGTGTGCGTGTAAGTAGTTAAGGAAGAAGAAGAAGAGATGCCTATCACAGATAAAGCCGGTGCTTGCGTCTGTTCCAAGCTTCATGCTAAACCGTGAAAAGTGGAGGCCTTTGTTCGGCTCATGACTGTAAAAGCTGCAAACGCCATCATTCAACTTGGGGATGCGATATCACGCCTATTCCTCCTCGCCACTTCTACTCGCTCCAGTGCTGCACAGCTTATGGTGGATAGTAAACTCCTACGCATAATTGAGAACAACTTGTAAAAATTTGGGGCAGTGGAACAGACTGATTTAGGGGTCAGATGATGGATTGAGAATGGACGAAATGTAAAGACTTGTCGAGGTAGAAGTGAAGCTTGTAAATGGAGGGGAATGGACAGGAAATAACTAGTGGTAAGGGGGTGCACTGCCTTTGTTTGCCTTCAGGTCAGAGCTAAACAGTGTCTCAGGTAGTTGTTGCAGGGCCTGGTTAGATGTATCAAGGAGGGACATAGTCGTGGTGGTGTTCGTGGGGAATGATGGTAAGCTAGTTGTGTGTTAGCCCACGCTGTCCCCAGTAGATGCAATGCAGCCTCCTGTTAAGGCTATTTTCTTTCACACCTAAATCAGCTTCACACTGCATGTGTATTGACCTTTCAACTTGCCTCTCGAATACGCAAATTCATCCGTGTGAGCCATGCAGAGTGAGGCACGAAGCTGTTTCCTTCCTTCCTTCCTTCCACACACACACACACACTCAGACAAGGCGTTTCCTCTGGCAACAAGCAAGCTTCAGCGAAAATATCACGACACTGAATAAATGCAGCCTGAAAGGGTTTGAGTGCCCCTATTTCCTTGACTGCAAGGAGAGAGAGAGAGGGAGGGAGAGAGGTGCCTATCACAGCAGAAGGTGGCGTTAACCTCAGCACATTCAACTGCCTGTTCCAATTATCACGCCAAATCCGCGAATGCTCCAACACCTTCTTACCTATCTCATTGCTTTTAACTACTTACTTCCTCCTCATCAGTAAGGGCAGAGAATATTACCTCCACCTAATGCAGGATATCTCGTCTCCATTTAAGCAGCGTGCTTCGGTCTGGGAGATGATCTCCAGTGGCACACCTTCCCAATGTCTGCCACATTGTGCAGACAAGCAAAACAAGGCAAATCTCCAGTTTGTCCATGTCTCCTCCGTCTCCTCTTGTCATCTGACTGCAACCAAATTGATGGTTTCTCTCAGTTCCAAGGGTGAGACATCATTGACAGCTCTCTCTCAATTAATTGACAATTGGTTGGGTGAGGAGGGCGGGAGGTAGGGAGCGGAAACAAACAACACTGCCGTCTGATACGCAGTGAACATTTGACCACTCCAAAGCAAGTGCACTTGGTTGTGGGTCTTTGACGAGTTGTTTGAAGACCTGTTTGTCAAAGTGAAGACCATGGGCTTTTGCGCTTTTAAAGGACCAAGTTTTGGACGTGTTTTAGACGATCACTCATCCACAAATCCACTCGAGGTGTGCAATGTCTACTTGTTTATATGCTTGGCTCCCTTTTTTCCCCCAAATAACCAAGTCTGTGATTTGGACTCACCAAAAGCAGCTACAACTGCCAGCTGTCAAATAATCGCCTTCTTGAGCTGGTACCGATCCCATGTAGATGCGTTAACAGGTCACTGCCCCAGTGCAGTTCCTTATGTCGTCAGCGTTGGCGAGGTCTAGGCAGGAGCTTGCGCAGAGGCCAGAAGGTGTTAGGTGAGGAGTAGGTGTAACTATTCCATCCCGTAAGCTGTATGTAATGCCTGTGACTGACACACGTAGGCAAACAGTGCCCTGTGTACAACATCATAGTTACCAGGAGCACCCTATTGCACAGAAAAGTTCAATCAGAGTATGCGAAAGACGAGCTAAGTTGGTGCCATGTAAACATGATTTCTGCATTCCCATTTCTGGACAATTCTGTGGCTACTATACAACTACAGATTGCTTGAAATTCGACCAACTGCAAGCACCTTAGCCCAGCTGCAGCAATTTTTCCCCTAATAACGCACATTGGAGATCAAATGTTCACCACTGTGTTCATTACTGCTTTAATGCAGTTAACAAGTGAGTAGCGAATCTTCCTTCCTCTTCTTTATGACACTTAACCTCTTTTTTAGCCTTGTGATCGCGTGCTATAGTGCGTAGCATTAAGTTATGCGAAAGCTGTTTCTCTACACCTGTACTGAATCACCACTAGGATTGATGTCACTAGTGGGCACTAAAATCATCGATGGCGTTCCATGTTAGAAAAGACGAGCAACCTGCAACAAGGAGTCGACATATCTTATGTTGTCGTTGTCATTATAGCAGATAAGGAACGTCAAATATGTGTACGTCTACGCGTTAACATTAGTTTATGTTTTCCTTGGTACTACCTAAATGCATTTCTTGAGCTTGAGCACTTTCAAACACCATGCTCACTCGGCCAGTTGTCACCCTTAGCATTGTTTAACACATGGCCTGCATGTCTATGAGAGCAGGTAATGCTGCTGCACAAGTCTTGTAATCTCTCCACAAATGCACATGGCTTGATATAAATTCTTTCGGAGAAATGTTTCCTCACATTAGAAACTGGATGAATAACAAGTCCACTCAAAGGAGAGCGAAAAGACAGTTCTCCTTTGACCAAATTGGGGACACGTAGCTTTACATTAATTTGAAATCTCACAAAAACCATAAGACAAATATTCGACTAGAAGATGGTAAAAGGAAGAGTGATAAAAGGCAAATAGGGGACTGCCGCAGACAATATCCCCACAGTAATGAGCTTAGTTACTTCTCTGTGAAGGTAGGGAGGTAGGCAGCTGAGACCGCCTCAGATAGTGAAATGCTACCTGCGCACAAAGTACGCAATATAGGTTTACAGTCAGTAGACAGATTTCAAAAAGCACTGAACTGAGCTTGTGGGATGGAAACAATTCGGATTGTAGGTGCAAAAGTTTCATTTCTCGAAAAATGGAAGTGTATAAAGACTATATTCGCGACCCGTGCTCGTGTATTATCAGTAGAATTTCCTTAAAGTCTTAAATCCAATTAGTACTACTTTTGCAAACTAAGATTAGCAAACTATTATAAGCAAAAGTGCAATGTATTCTGCTTCAAATACCAAACCCAAAAAATTGTTGTCTTACTTTTAGACAAAAAAAATTGTTTATGTGATTAAACGGCATATAAGTGACGACCTGAATCCTATTTCAACGCCTGTGTCTGCCGATTTGTTGTTTAATTTTTATCGGAGTAAATGGTCCCGAATCCAAGTCTACTTCTCAACAGCGGCCATAAAATTCCGCAACTCGGCTTCGGAACTTTCGATGTACGACGATTACATTTTCTTCATTGTGTGTCATTTATAGGCTCCCAAAGAAGTCGTGACTGAAGCAGTTGAAGTTGCGATCAGTGCTGGGTTTCGACATATTGACTGTGCCATGATCTATGGCAACGAAAAGGAAGTTGGTGCTGCGATTACGACATCCATAAAGAGGCACAACCTTAGACGAGAAGACATTTTCGTTACCTCGAAGTTACTTTCCACATAATTGGAATTACCTATTATCTGAGAGTAGCCTTTCTGTGACAAACACGCACCCAAAGATGTCCGCGCAGCGTGCGAACTTTCGGTCGAAAATTTTGGTCTGCAGTATTTGGATTTGTACTTGATACACTTTCCTGCGACGTTCAAAATCAAGGAGGGTGTTTCATTTAACATCGACGATCCGAATTCTGTCGTGTTTGAGTATCACAAAATTGAAGATACCTGGAATGTAGGTTTGTGAGGGAATATGAATACAACTTTCCAGGCCATGGAAGAATTGGTGTCTGCTGGACTTGTCAAATCGATTGGGGTGTCTAACTTCAACAAACGACAAATTGAACGCATTTTAGCATCATGCACAATTCCTCCAGCAGTGAATCAGGTTGAAGTCAATATCCATTGGCTCAACACGAAGCTGATTGAATTTTGTCACTCAAAGAACATTCTGGTCGAGGGCTATTCGCCACTTGGCTGCCCTGGTATCACAGAGTATATCCACGTTTATCAATACCGTTAAATCACTCCTCAGCTGAAAGTTTCAACTAAGCTACCTTTTACGCTCTTCTTGCAGGGGCAGAATAAAACCGCTTATGTAGGAGGAGAATGTTATCGAGATCGCTCGCAAGCATAAGAAGACACCTGCACAGGTGCTGTTGCGCCACGGCCTCCAGAGGGGCATCGTTGTCCTCGTCAAAAGTGTTACTTTTGAACGCATCAAGTCGAATTTTGATGTGAGTCTCTTCCAAAGAATATGCTGTTAAACAATTCGTTTGCTAAGTACTTATGATATTTGCTTGTTTTTCGAGGTGTTTAATTTTGAGCTGACTAATGAGGAAATGGAAGTACTCAACAAGACTGGTCCAAATAAACGTATTTTTACGATCTCAGCGTAAGTGATGTCCATCGTGTTTTGTGTTCAGCACAGCACTGTGCCACAATTTTTCGAATTTTTTTTGTAAGTGTTATTGCACCGTGCATCCCTCTCTTTCAGTCTGGAGAAACATCCGGAATATCCATACCACGATGAGTGCTAATTCTTCTGCTGTCTTTCTGCTCTTCCCCACATTCGTCACCTCTCTGAGTGCCAAAACTTGTTTAATAGAATACTCGAACAAGCTTCACTTTGTGTTTCTGTAGACAGCAGCCTGATGTGGAGTGATTTGGGTGGATTTGGGGCGGTGGGGTGGACTGATGTTAGGGTCAGTCGATAGATTGCGCTTGTGGTGCACGTGGAACTTTGCTGTTGGGGAAGTGAATATTGGTAAAGGCTCATTTAACCATTTCTCTGTGCTTGGGTTGGCGTGGTACTGCATGGAGGTGGTTGCCGTGCTGAACGTAGACGATGGTGATTGGTTAGTTGTGGGAGGGCTCAGCCCTTATCTGGTGCGTGCGAGGCAACCTCTTCATAAGCCTATTTTAGTCCACACTTGACCCAGCCCCTCAAAGGCGGACTGCCTTCCCATATTTTGACTCACCTAGACAATGCAGAAATTGCGCGGTATGAACCATCAGCAATGAGGTACGAAACTGTTCCCTTTTACACAAAATTGGAAGGTAAATTAAGCAATCAAGCGTAGCCACACAGATCTGCACATCCATTCCGCTATTCATTGCCCTTTCCGTCAGCTTTTGTTTGAAAATCTGAAGCCCCATATATTTGGTTGAGATACACCATCTTTTATTTGAAAAGCTCTAATGCAGTTGATCAAATGCCTGTAATGCGGAGTGGAGAGATCTCAATCACAACAGTCTGGGCTACAAATGACACTCGATTCCGCAAACCTGTTTTTGCGCATTGGAGATTGAACGTCACCCACTTGACGGATTCGA